CTGTGCTGGAAGAGGGCACTCACTACTCAACTCCATCACTACTCTTGACTAACTGACTACAGAGAACAGATCCTGCTTCTTGGCAGGAATGAAAATTTCAGCTCTGGAATATGTAAAGCTGTTTTTCTGGAGTTTTATTTTCAAAATTCATACCTATTTTAGCATGCAGACTTACTGGAAAGGAGCAGATTTAAAAGTTTCTAAAAATCAATCTGATTAAAGCCTTATTCCTCAGCTACATATGTTTGGTTCTAAGAACAGCTGAAGCTTTGCCATCTTTTGTTCAGTTGGGGTTTAGAGAAATATTAAGCTTTAGGCTTAAACATGGGTACAGTCAACTAACTTTTGTAGAATGGAAGTCAGATTAGGCAACCTGTATCTCCTAGCCCTAAAAACAGGAAAACAGCTGAAGGGCCAGGTTTTCCTGTGAGCTTTTCCTCAGTGGCTGTATTGCATCTGTTCTCTCACAGGGCAGTTAGTGAAAGTGGTAGCAGATCTTCCTCTTTCTTGTACCAGTGCTTTGGGAAGGTGGCCAGAAGCAAACAGCTTTTTGTCCCCACTTCAGCACGTCACACTGCCAGAACCATCTGTGACCCGTGAATGGGCACACAACAGCCACAAGCCTCAGCAGCAAGTTAACTGATACAGCTCAGTGGTTATCTGGGATTCAGTTTATGTGGGGACCAACTTTCCTCTGGTGCTCTACAGCACTGGTATCCATGCCATGAGGAAAGCATCATGTTGTAAGCTAAGTTTTGTGTCTTGTGAGATTTGATATGAAAGTGAAAAATGCAGCAAAGAGCCTTAAGGAGGAGAGATGGGAAGGAAAGATGCTTTTATCTTGCAGCAAGGTCAGAAATACCCTCATTACAAGAGCACCCAAGCCCATTGTCTGCTGCTGTCTGTATCTTTAACTCCAGCTTTAACACTTTGCATGTATTTAGTACTGCAGTCCAAGTTAGAGGGCTGATATGAACTGCCTGCACAAGCTGGCAGTGAAGTGTCAGTGTGTCAGAGAAGTGTGCCAGAAAAACATCTTTTCTATTACTTTATTTGGCTTTATTCTATGACTTTGAGGAGCAAGTGGTCACTGAGGTGCCACCTGCCTGCAGCACAGACTGCTGCCATTCACACCCACGGTGCTCTCACATGGGCTGTTCACGAGGTCGAGTGACATGATGCCACCACATGGGGGGCAGATGCCCCTCCTTACGAGCTGGAGGCAAAGCTTCAGTTCTTGGACCATCAGCTGGAGTTTCTTCTTGTAACTGCTGAACCTAGAAGACAAGACACAGAACTGCTTTAGCACATTAACACACACTCCCATTTTCAGTGCCCAGGCAATGAGCAGAACCAAGAACCGCTGGTTTTTCTCTATTTCCACAGAGGAGAACCAGAGGTAACACCTTTGGCTGACAGGTTTCACGTTTCCCAACTTTAACTTCCACTCAGTAGTCACTGCAGGCTCTTACTACCTAATCAAGAAGGAATTTATAGGAACAACAAGTGATTTACAAGATAAATTACACTTAAAAGGTCATTATTTCTATGTAATTCACATCTACCACTACTCTGTCAAACAGGCTGAATTGTGCTGCTTTGGAAGCTGACAGATAATTCCAAGTCTGGACCAAGTTTCCCTGCAGTCAGTGAGTAGGAGAACTTCTGTTCCTGCACATCACCAGCATCCTCACATGTTTTCAATACCTGATTCTTGAAACAGCACAAGTGCTGGCTGCTCCTGTGTCAGTTCCACTCAGGGTGCCATGTTCCATACAATCCAACTGAATCAAAGGACTGTTCTAAGAACACCAACTTCTTCCAACCAACTCTCAGTTCAGGGTGGCCAGAAATTAGTCTGAATGCCCAACTGATGACCACTGCAGCACATCACATTCAAAGCTGTAACCAGAAAGTGTCAAGAGCTCCACAGCAGCAGCAGAGGAATTCTCTGGTTGTTAGTCTCCTTTCATCCCACTTTGGATTTTTTTCTTTCCCCACAAAACTGCTGTAACAGCTCTTACTAACTGATACAAGGCTGCAGGTTCAGCTCTGACTTCAAATTCCCTTCACAACCTCCAGAGGCTGTAACAAATCTGTAGGCATTTTAGGTTGTTCCACACTGACGAGGGCCCCAGCACTGGAGAGTCTCACTGGGACTGTAGGACATTCAGTGATTTTTCCAAGAACACATCTGTGCCACACAGGACACTTGTGTGCTAAAGAGACTTTGCATAGAGCAAGCACTGACCTCTCTGTCCCAGCTTTCCCGCTGCAGCTTCTTCCACTGCTCTCGTTTGGCAAAGTAATCAGGGTACATTGCCTTCTCAGAAGGGTGCCAGAAATCCAAGGCCCATTCAGGAATCTGTTGAAGAAAAACATGATTTAAAATACTATTTTTTATATATGAAATCACACTTGTACACACATGCAGAAGAATGGAACACAAAGGCTAAAGGCAGTCTCATTCCTTAGGGGTTTTTTTCCATTTTGAACTACTACATAAAAACACCATTCAGGAGCTGCCTATCTCAAGGCACATGACAGAGGTCAGAATTTTTCACACATTATCCTGACCCACAGGAAGACATCACAGTGACTTACATAAATCACAGCATTCCAAAACAAGTCCCAGGTCATCTCCGTTTACTCTAAACTTTTCAAAATAATTCCATCTGGTGGAAGAGAAGATGTGATTTCTTCCCTTCCTTCTCTCAAAGGCAGCAGGTTACAGGAATCCTTCTCTCCAACTGCTGATTTATTTTACTTGACAAAGACACAACATTACAGCTCATTTCTGCTTCTCTACAGCTACTAAGAAATGAGCAGTTTTTAGGCCTTTAAGATCTTGAGAATGGTCTGACCTCTAAGACCTTCTGACAAGGGAAAATACCAAAATTTAGAATTTTGCAGCAATTAAAAAAACCCCTAATTGCTTATATTTTAAAAAGAGGAACAGTGATTAAAAACCAAAATCCCACCAAAACTCCCAATTAAAAAAAAAAAAGTTGCTCCAGTACCATCATACACTTAGTGATATCCACAATTTTCTCTTCCTGCTGTGATTCTCATCACAGAACAAAACTTTAACTGAATGGAAATAGCACAGCTGCTGAAGTAAATATCCAGCCACAGCAAGCTCCAACTAAAACCACCAATCAGCCTGAGTTCTAAAAAGTACATTTTGGAGCAGCATCCACAATGGACAGTCACTGATACACAAATGAGCCAAAGCCTTGTGAAAGGCATTCTGTTAAAATAGTTTTAGCCCATCAAACTGGAAAAAAGAAAGCATAACCCAGTCTGTGTTTCTGTATGAAGACTAATATTGACCATTTAGTGCTCAGCTGCCTTTTTTTCTGCCCAGATTCCCTGTCACTATTATCTCTACTACTACTCAGGCCCCTGACCTTGGCACAAGTTTAAATAAGTCCTTCTCTTCTCTTTTCACTCACATATTCTTTATTCTGCTCCTGATAAATCTATGCCATATTTTTCTTTTTCCATGGCTTAATATGATAAAAGATCTGACCAGATCCAGTCTTGTGCCAGCACTTTTTTCAAATTTGTGAGGAAATGGGTGCATGCGGTCTCTAGGTCAGTATTAACTTCTAATGCATGAAAAAGATGATACCAATAAAGCCAAGTCCCTGTGTTTTTCTATGGAACTTTTGCTCCTAAATAAAATAATCTGGATGTTAAATGTTAATAACTGTCAAAGAGCCTTGAAGAGTTTAAACATAAGGTTTTTATATCCAGGCAGTGCTTCTCTCACAGTATCACACAAACTGCACGATCTGGCACTGCAGCATATGAAGGGAAATGGTAACTTGTACCACGACTCAAATGCTGGAGAACCATAGGACTGAGTGAAGGGAAGTCCCCGACAGCCAAGGTGACACCTGACATGAGGAGAGGAACCAAGGCTGTGCTCGGGAGGCAGCAGAGCTCCCTGGGCGCCGTTCACTTCCCCAGCTCAGCTCCAGCCCTTTCCTGTCAGCCTGACCTGCCACTGGGCAAATGATTATCCTCGGGAAAAAAGAAAATCCCAAAAGAACAAGCAGCAGTGTTCAAACTAATCAAGAAACCCCATCTTCCAGGACCAGAGCAGCTCCTCCCACACAAAGCAGCAAGATGTTCATGGAGGGTGAGGTGACACTGCCGAGCCAAGCTGCGACCCTGTCCAAGCCAAGTGACACGGAACACGCTCAAAGCCAGCGCAGAACTCCCAGTATGAGCGGCACCCCATCTTTTACATCTCGTATTTCCCGGCACTCACCTTTCACATCTCACATCTCCCGGCACTCACGTTGCACATCTCACATCTCCCGGCACTCACCTTGCACATCTCGCATCTCCCGGCACTCACCTTGTACATCTCACATCTCCCGGCACTCACCTTGCACATCCCACATCTCCCGGCACTCCCCTTGCACATCCCACATCTCCCGGCACTCACCTTGTACATCTCGTAGCGCTCGTAGGCGATGCCCCCGGGGGAGTCGGCGAACACGTACGGCTGCGGGTGCTGGCTGGCCCAGAACTCCTCCTCGCCGGCCTTCAGCAGCTCGGTGGCTTTCACCATATCGTTCACATTCTTGTTCTTGTCGAACCGGTCCCTCAGGAGGCAGGCGAAGTAGCGGTACTTGTCTCTGCGGACAGAGGTCATGCACAGTGAGGAGGAAAACAAGGGCCTCCCCACCCCGGGCCCAGCCAAGCGCGGGGCTGGGCGCCCCGATGTGCGGGCGGCCAGCACTGCCCCGTCCCAGCTCCCCTCGCCCTCACCGATGGATGCACCAGGACTCGAGGTGCCGCAGGGATTTCTTGTACAGCCGCAGCACCTTCTGCTGGTGCGTCAGGTACGCGGCCATGGCGCCGGCTCCGCGGGCCTGCCCTCCGCGCGGGGCGTGCCCTGTCAGTGCTGCCGGCGACTGGGATGGCATTAGGAGGGAGAACAGGCAGCTCTTGGGAGGCATTCTGCTGCTGCCACCCGGGAGGCTGTATGGGAGATGCTGCATTTTCCCTTCTTTAATGCTTGTTTGCATGAATGTGTGTTTTTGTGAGAGAAGCAGATTTGCTTGCAATAAAAAGCATATGCGTGTTCACTTTGGTGGTTATGAGGGTGTGTATAATGCACTCACAGTCTGAAGTTGCACAGAGGGAAAAGTTTAATTTTTCTGTCACTTCTAGTAAGGAGTAAGTTTTCAAGTTATACAAGTAAGCTTATGCTTAAACATTTTATTACTTACTAATGTGCTGGTTGAGGGTTTAGATAGGGTTTCTATTGTCTTCCCTAGCTGATTAATATTCAGAGTATTCAGAACAGCTATAACTTCTATCTTTGGTTTTCCACAGATATTGGTATTAACCTGACAGATCCTATGTTCAGAGGAATCTACAGGGGAACACAGAAACATCAAGGTAAATATTCCTTTGTATCTGCTGGAAGACAGGATCCCTTTTGCTGAATGAGAAGCCTCTTGCATGCCAGAACGTGATGATGGGGTTTCTTTCGTCTCCTCCTTATGTACTTGGGCTTAAAAAAGAAGGCCTGACTAAATAAGTTGTATACCCTAACCAAAATGCATTGTCTTAATTGCTTATTACCTGCAGGTAACTGCTTCTGGAGCAAAATGGACAATTGCTTATCTAGTTAGGATTGGAAAACTGATATGAGAGCTATGAACTGTGGTCTGTCAAAGTATTGCATTGCTGAATCACAGTTACCAATTATAATGTGGGGCTTCTTGTTCTTGTGACCTTTAGATATGGATGTAAAAGCAGAGAGCCTTCTAAAGTATGTGGAAAAACTTCCACTGACTTCTTGGATTTAAATTGGATCTCCAGTTACTACACTTTGTTATTGTCTTATAAAGATTAATTAAGTATGGTTTAAAGATTTAATTATAAAAATTTTGACTGCATGAAAATTGAAAAGTAGTTAAACTATGCTGTAAATCCTCAAGTTCAATTTATGACATTTTTATGAACTTTTGCAGATGACTTTCTGGATGTAATAGAGAGAGCAGTCAAAGTTGGCATTAAAAAGGTAATTTCTTATAATGAAATGACATTAAAATTTTAAGCTGCTTTCCAATATTTGGTTGTTTAGTGCTCTCCCACTGAATGTTTCTGGTTGAATGGAGAATGCAGTAACTTCCTTCAGTAGCACAGAACAAGTGTTCTGTGCCAGAGCATGGTCTTTCCGTTTGCACAGATCATTATTGAAGCTGGTTGTTGGAGTTCAGTGATATTGCTGGATGTGGAAGTTGGTTTGTGCAGTTTCAAAAGAAAGATATTGCACAGATCATTATTGAAGCTGGTTGTTGGAGTTCAGTGATATTGCTGGTGATGTGGATGTAGAAGTTATTTTGTGCAGTTTCAACAGAAAGATAGTCTCCTTTGACCTGCTGCAATGAAGTGGTACATAATTTTCCATGTTGTATTATAGGCAACCATTCCTTTTTCCTTATATTCTGTGTGGCTCTTAAGAGAGTAAATCCCATGAGGAGCAGCTGTGGGGGCTGGGAGTTGTTTAACCTGGAGAAAAGGAGGCTCAGAGGAGACCTTATCACTTACACCTCCTGAAAGGAGGCTGTAGCCACCTGGGGGTCAGTCTCTTTTCCCAGGCAAGAAGTGACAGGAGAAGAGGAAATGACCTCAGGCTCTGCCAGGGGAGGTTCAGGTTGGACACCAAGGAATAATTTCTTCCTGGAAAGGGTGGTCAGGCACTGGAACTGGCTGCTCAGGGAAGTGGTCACCTTCCCATGGAAGTGTTCAAGAAACAACCAGGTGTGCATACTCAGTGCTCTGGTTTAGTTGACGAGGTGGCAGTGATCAGTCAGAGGTGGAACTCAGTCATCTTGGAGGTCTTTTCCAACCTTCATGATTCTATGATTCTTAATCAACAATTACTGCTGAAGATCAAGCTCTTCTGACTGAGGTTTTCAGCTATTTCTATATGTAAAGGAAATTGGGAACTGCAGAAGAGCTGGGAGTGCCCAGAAACTCTTCCAGCTGAGACACCTGCATGTTTGCTGGTAAATACTGGCTTACATGTATTAAAACATCATTATGAGAGAATTTTAACTCAGAAGATGAAATTGGTATTTCCAGCAGTGCATCACATTCCATAGTTTAGCCTGTCTCCCTTTCTCTCTAAAGTGAATAAATTTTTGGCAAAAATACGAATTACCATAGAATACAGTGCATACTGTCACAAACTGTTCTACTGCAGTACTAAGGCTACCTGATTAGAAATAAAGAAGTTAATGCTCCTGTAGCAGAGGAACAGGTATCTTGGGAGTTTGTTGAAAAACTCTCATCTGAAAAGAGTGGGAAATGCACTGGGAAACAAAAAAAGAAGACTAGTGATGGAGAACTTACCTCACTGCAGCAAATACAGGAGTGAGGTCACATTTATATGTGCTGTATGAGTGCTATTTAATTTTTATACCACCCTCTGAAAATAAGTGGCATTTAAAAAAATTTATAATCAAAACCAGATTAGCTGCATAAGTTTCTCAAGATGCACAGTGGACTGAGAAATGTTATTCAGGAGTTCCTGCCTTTAGCTGTTCTCAGTCTTGCTACTGGCCTGTACAGTGTTAGAAGCCTGTTCAACCACAGACTGTTCCTGCTTGCCTAGAACCTTAATCTGCTGATAGAAAGCACTTTTATTTTTCTGTATAGCTGCTGCTTTATAATAATTTTTGGTGAAGTTTTGTTCTGTGTCGTGTATGCACTGCGCCATTTTCAGCTTAACATTTCTCAGTCTTTGGGAAGTGTCTGTCTGTCTGAGTGCCCAGCCCTGGGAATGTGGGAGTGTTTGAGCTGGTGCTGACAGAGCCTGCTGGATAGCACCTGCAGGAAGAGTTCCCAAACCACTGCAGACATGGCTGTTACAATCTAGGGTGAAATGTTCTGCAAGTGGTGGTTCAAAAAGTACACTATAGGCAGCAATTCTCATGTGATAACTTCAAGGTAAAAATAAAAGATCAGAGATGGAAGTTCATAAATTTATAATCCCAGCTCTGATACAGACTAGTTTTTTGGTTTAACTGCTTACTCCTGTCTTGTTTTGGGTCTTTAGGAGTCTATACTTTTCCCCAGCTGTAGGACAGGGAGAATATTTATAAGTATCAATTCTTGAGTGCAAATATAGTCTTCAGTCATTGTGTGAGGAAGCTAATATTGCTGCAAATTGAAGTATTTTATTCCTTCAGTGATTTAGATTTTAGCTAATGCTTAGCATACAAGATATTTGATTAAGGGAAAAAAATGATATTTTGCAGCCTACTGTATTTACTACCTCCTGAGGACCATTGTGGTTTAGTGCTGATTTATGAAATCTTGTTATATGTATATGTATTAGTAATTGTAGTCTGATGTTCTCTGTCAAGATCCTTCCATGTATCTGAGTGTTTTCTTAAACATTCTCTTTTAAGTTCAAAGAACATCCACACTAACAATTCTTTTCTTGTTTCAAGTTTTTGATTACAGGTGGAAGTCTAGAAGATAGTAAAGATGCATTGCAGCTGGCACAGACAAATGGTATTTTCACTTTAAATTTACATTTTCAGTAAAAAAAAAACCTTCTCTGCTCTCAGAATTGAGTTCAAAAGGACCTGCCTCAGAGGTGTTACAGACTCTCAGATTAAAATGAGAAATTACATTTCAGAGTGGGATGAATGCATTGTGTATGAGTTTGTGTGTTGTTCTTTAGATCCCTGATGTTGGAAGGAATCTTTTCCTGCACGTTCTATTTCTAAATAAAAATAGAAATTATAGAAAATTTCTGGAATAAAAATATTGATACAAGTTTCTGCTGTAGAAATAAGATAAAGTGTTTACATGTTGTGAAATATATGGGGTTTGTTGGCTTTTGTTTTTTACTCACCAACCACTTTGACCAGCTTGATCAAGAGAGGTATCTTTCTTTTGATCATTCCTTTGGCTTCTCCTTTCTTTTCTGTGAAAGGAGAATGGCTCTTCTTTTTTCTTTAGGCAGAATTCATTCCACTAATTACTTGAATATGTATTTGAACTAAAACACATGATAAAGTACTGTTTGCTAACAAAAACCCTAAATAATTTTGGTATGAATGAACTCAAGGAGATAATTTGGTCCAACCCAGTGTGCCTCCCCACTCAGGCAGGGCTGGCTTGAACATTAGGGCAAGTTGCTCAGGGCCTTACCTGTTCTTTCCCTTCCCCAGTGCTTTTACATTTAGCAGAAATGTTAGTATTGGCATGGTAATCTAGATCAGATACTTGGGTGAATCAGGCAGGTGTGAGCTCTGAAATTCTCTAACACAAGGGGCACACGAGGAAAATACTCTCTGCAGTTCCTACAGCTGAGATAACCTGATGCACTTTGAACAAGATGTATTTCTAAATGATCTCAAGAGGTCTCATCCAGCCTGAGAAATTGCATGATTTATTGGGAGCTGCTCCACCAGAACAGATCAGCTCTAAGCTGCAGTTTTGGAGTACACCAAGTAATGTGTACTAAAAGAAGATGTGTGCACATGCCCCCACTGGAGATACTGTCTGACATTTTTAAGGCAGAAAATGCCTGTCTAATGAAATTATCACTAAGATAAATATGGTCAAAGGGAGTTTTCTTTTCAAATTGTGACCAATTAAAAAAACCTCCAGAGGCAGATGTTGTCTATACCTTAAATAAATTTTCTTTTTTTTCCCCTAAAACCTTCTAATACTCTCTTGTTTTAGATATGTTTTTCAGTACAGTTGGCTGTCATCCTACTCGCTGTGGAGAATTTGAGCAGGGTAGCCCTGAACAGTATTTATCTGAATTAAAAAATCTGATTGAAAAAAACAGGACAAAGGTAATAGCAGTTGGAGAATGTGGCTTAGGTAAGTGTTCTCTTACTACTTCAATATTTATTTTTTCTAGACATATACTGAAAAAAAAATCCTATAATACTAAATGGGGTTTTTGTTCTTTCTGTTTGTAGATTTCGATAGATTAGAATTTTGCCCAAAGGACATCCAACTCAAGTAAGAAACTTTTGATGACTGTGAATGAGCTTGTAGCAATTTACAGTAGAGTTTTCTATCTTGTGTTCTGCCACATAACATACTGTCACATCTGGCCCTCAAATTTGCAGGGTTGGGCCCAGAGGTTTTTTGGGCAGAAATGGGAATTTAAAGAAATATGCCTACATTCAAGTAGTGTGATGTGCTAAATTTTGCTACCTCCCTGGTCTTGACTTACGTCAACATGTCTTTTTTCTGTAAAACTGACCAGAAATTGTGGATTTCTGGGTGTGAGAGATGTTAATTCTTGCTAATAGTTAAGAGCTCTAAGAGAATTACAGGAAAAAACCCCATAAATGCAGTGTATTAAAGAACTGGGTTGTTAAGTGAAAGGCATGAGGACAGGAGCAGAACTGTTAAAAGCAGTGGTAAAAGTAATGGGTAAAAAAGAGCCTTTAGTAAGGAAGGTGTTAGCTGGGAGCAGATAATGGAGAGCTGGTGGTAAAGGAAATCTCAGGAGGTGCAGCATAGATGCTGATTGGAAAGAAGCTACCACAGCCCCTACAGTCAGCCTGCATTCTTCAGTTGAGAACTCTCTGCAGAGGGAACTGATTGAAAGATACAGGTGATAAATGCAAATAAGATGAGTGATTAATGAATTACATTTGCATGTTACTGTTTTGAGTAAATTAGTCACTGGGGGGCAGTGGTTGGTTGTTTTTTTTCTAATGGCTGCATGTTAGCAGTAGGAGGATTCTTCATAATGCTACAGACCAACAGTGAAATACTCAGCAAAGGGCACAGGACTTTCTGTCCTGGTAGAATTCAGTGTATGTGAAGTTCAGCAAAGCACACCTTAGAACATAATCTGTTTCTTTTCTGTGGCAAACTAAAATACTGATGGAGTATCAGATTTTAAGATCCTTAACTGCCTTGATGTCAGAGAGCGAAAAAATACATATCTCATTTCCTTGTCCAATGGACTGCAGCTGAAGAGCTGTAGTGACTTCTAATTGGATGCACTGACATTGAGTTGTAAGGAAGGAGATGACAGGCCTGGTCAGTGAGCTGAACAGAGCAGGCAGAGTGTGAAATCCACGGAGCCACTTCACTGCTTTTCAGCTGCTCAGGAGTTCAGGTGCAGCAGCCATGGGGAGGGCTGGCATGCAGCTGCACAGTTCCCCCACAGAAGAGCAGTATGTTTGTTTCCCAGCAAATCTCAGGCATGACCTCTGTTTCATTTAGTATTTAATCTACATTTTTCTGGTTAGTTATGCTGTGTTTTCTTTTGGATAATTTTCACCTGTACATTATTTTTATGGGGTTTTTTCAGTTTAAAAGTTAATAAGAATCTAATAAAGATGAAATTTCTTTGCTGTAGTGTTCCTAAGAACTTTTTATTTCAAAAATCTTCCCCATTCTCAGAACTTTTCCAAGAGAAAGCAGTGATTTGAATGGTAGTAAGATGAAGGTATTGCCTTCATATTATGGTGAAATGCCCCAGTAAGCATATAGAAGTTTCACATCTGCTGTACTACATGGGATAATCACAATATCACATGTACCATTGCTCAAATTAATTCAGAAGTGTTTGTTTAGAGATCTACCTCAGCAAGGTCAGTTTGCTTTAGCTCCTTTAGTGTCTTGATCCTGTAGCATTTGAACGGGATGGTCAAAACTAAGCCTGCTCAAAGGAACAGGTTGTTCCTTAAGCACTGGAACTTGTCAGGGTTAGTTTCCTACTGAGTTATTTTCTTATTATTCCAGTCACTGTATGTCTGGTTTCATCATGCTTTACCAGGGGTTGGGGTTTAATTTTTTTTTTTATTATTATTTTTGTCTCTTCAATAACAGCCCCATCCCCCTCTCCTTTCTCTGACAGGCCAAGGAACAACATTAGTTGGGCTTTGTTGTTGCTTGGAATGGAAGAAGCTTGAGTTATATTTCCATTTGCAGGGACACTAAACTTGGTACTTTCAGGGGCTCTACCCTTCTCAAAATTAAATGGAAATTGGCCAGTAGGTTACTTAGGGAGCTTACTTGCAGTTCTGTCTCTGAAACCTCTTTCCCATATGAAATAAGTATTCTGTTAAAAAGAAAACTGACACCAAAAATCCAGCAATTGTAGCTATTTAACCTCAAGAGCAATCATAAGTTGCAATTAACTTATATTTAGTCATACAAGCTAAACTAAGCATGATACCTAGACAAAGAAGATTCAAAGAAGGTGTAATGCATTCTCATGAATTTTTATGTCAGTTTTCAAGGTTACAGCTGATTTGTTTAACCTGTTTTATCACAAAGATTTGCACTGATTAAGAGGAAGGTAACTTTGATCTGAGAAATATCAATTTGTAATATATGGAAAATAGTGAAAATGACATTAAACTAAGTGACCGGTTGCATATTTGTTCAGGGTCAGTTTTTTGGGTTGTTCTTTTTTTTTAGGAAAATGTAAATCAAACTAATGGTTTGCTGCCCTTTCCCCTGGTTGATAAGTGACTTGTGCACATCAGTGTGTGATCACTGGAGTTTCCCTTTGAAATGGGTGTGATAACTGATGGTGGGAATTTCCCGGTGCCCTGGACTGTGTTTTAAGAGCAGCACCTCAAGAAATCCAGTATGTGCCTAGAGCCCCAGCCTGCTGGGATGGACAGTGTTGTTCTCCTTCTTCACCCAAGTAGTAGCATCATCTTTCAAACAGCCTGAGGACACTGAGTCACCCATGCACTGCTGGCCTTCTGCCATGCTAAAGTTCTTCTGCTGTGTTCCCTGGGTGGAGCAGGGCAACAGGGATGTGGAATGGTAATTGCAGAGCTTGCTGCTAATGACAAGCACAGGTTAGTTCAGTGCTAAGTTGTTTCCTTTGGCAATTGCATTGGGGAGCCTGGCTACTTTCTTACCTTCCTTCTGCCCACATTCCCGTGTCTTTTCACAGGGTGGGGCCTCCCTGTTACCACCCCATCAAGGGCAGCTCTGAGGAGTACAAAGTTGGAGAGGGAAAAGTAAGGATCCAGGAACACAGAGGGAGGGAGGGAAAACATGTAAAGACAGTAGGCAGAAGTATGATGTCTAATCTGGTATTTGTTCCACCAGGAGAGTGGATTGTTACTCACAGGTCAGCAGCTCTGCTGCAGTTTGGCCACTGGAGGCTGTAGAAGCCTGCACAGTGCTCCCCTGCTCACCCTCATTGTGTTTATGAGGGCTTCTTGAAATAGTACCTTCTGTGTCATCCTCACTCTCCCATTCCTGACATTTCAGAACTTTGTGGAAAGAACAGTCAGTTCCTCTTCCATTAAAAATAAATAAATAAATAAAAAATTAACTCCAGCACCCACACTACACAAGAGTACGTGCTCTGCATGTATACATATGGATTCTGCAGTATTCTACATATACATTATGCAGTTCTGAGGCTCTTGGCCACTTACCTGGTACCTTATTATGGTCTTCAAGCATAATCCTAGCTGTGGCAGTACACATGTGAAAGAGGTTCTTTTAAATCCTTGCACAAATAAGAACTTTTACATGGCAAATCCATTAATTCTGTCTTTAGCTCTGGAGGACAGAAGTTTGGATAAAACAATCTTTTATTGTCTTTATTTGTTCTTCCACTTAGTTTCTCTTTAAAGGTGAATTTTATTTTGCAGGTATTTTGAAAAACAATTTGACTTATCAGAACAGATGCAGCTGCCCATGTTTCTGCACTGTAGAAACTCACATGCTGAATTTTTAGGTGGGTTTTGTTTGAGAATTTCATATTTAGAGCAAATTCTGAATATAAAAATATTCTATATTCATCTGTTATAAAGCTGTTTTATATTTTTATTTCATTTCCTAGACATAATGAGAAGAAACAGAGATAGAGTTGTAGGAGGGGTGGTAAGTATGGACTTCAGTGTAGCATCCATTTTTCCATGCATGTGTTGTCAATATTGTTGCTTAATATGCAATTTCTTGTTTGTCATGGAATCTGCATAGGCTTCCTGTTACATCATTTAAGCTGTTATTAATTAGAAAATTTTCCAGTCCCTTTTACTATTTTTATTTTCATTGCTTATTTGACAGGATTTTTGCAAGGTAAGTAGATAGGCTGAGAAAAAGCTCTGCAGCTGATGTGAACAGTTGTTCTTGGCCTGCCAGCAGGACAGTCTAAGCACCTCATAATTGACATTGGCCTTTTCCCAACTCCTCAGTGGCTGTAACTGCAGTGCATTCAGACCACAGACAATTTAGATGCATGTTCCCAGTGGAAGCCATAACCTCAGACATTGCTTCTGACGTTGGACATCGTTTTCAAATTAGATCCAGATGGAACTTTTGATTACTTTGTCTTTAGATATTCAGATCACATTTTTTAATTCGAAAGTCTAACAGGAAAAGCTTTGGGTGAAATGGGAAGTCCAGAAATGCTTTTTCAGGTTTCCATTATGACTAAATTTTTCAAAAGTCATAAATGCTTGTGATTTTAACATGAGACACCTCCTACAAGAATATTGCAGTCCCCAGTTTGTCCTTTGTTCCCAGAAAACCCCTCCCCACGCTCAGTGCTTTGCATGTGTAATGTCCTATGTAGTGCTGTGAAGGCTCTCCTTCCTTCCTTCCTCCCTTTCTTTATTCCTGCACAGCCAGCCAGCCAGGAAAGAGGGGAGAAAGGAGCAGGCATCTTCTGCAACTCCTGTCCCTGTCACAGCACAGGGAAGCAGAGCAGACAGTCTGTTTGCTCCACTCAGGCTGAGAAGATGCAGTTCCCAGCTGCATTACACTGTGTAACTTGTGACCCTGCACTTTCCTCTCTGGAATGACCAAGTGGATTGTCTTGCTAGTTCCAGTGGACTATCACCTGTGGAGAATAGAATGCTGCTCTTATGGTGGCCCTGAAGGGAATACTGAGGAAAGAACCTAAAAATTCAGCGTGCCCAGGATTACTTCCTGAGTATGATCTCCCAGTTACCAGTTACAGGGAGTTCCAGGGCCAACATATTTATCACTGTTAAAGTGTGGTAACCACTTCCAGTGCAGCAGTCAGGTGACTTCAGCCTGAACTTTGCTCAAATTCAGAATCAGCTGAGCCATTATTAATTAGCCTGTCCCATCTTGATGTTTCTAATGATGTGTAATGCATACTATTGAAGGTATTTGATGCTAATAAAAGGTAATACATACTTTGGAATGATTGGAGTTTTAATAAAAGTGCATTTGTGTTATATTTATATGTTCTAGGTACATTCTTTTGATGGCACAAAGGAACAAGCAGCAGCTCTAATAGATTTGGATCTTTATATCGGAATAAATGGCTGGTAAGTTCTTCACAAGAAATACAACTGCTTTAAAATGGCAGCTGTAGTGAACTCATTGCTTTCTTTTAAACAATGAGGTCAGGTTTTCAAAGCTCACTAGACCCTTAATCATCTGACAGATTTAGAATTGCTCACATTAGTCTGTTAGCCATCAAAGCTCTTGCAGTTCGGTGAGCTAATCAATGTCCACTCTCCTACCCTCAGGACAATCCTTGTTTGTAATTAAATAAGGTTGTTGAGCATGGAAAGATTCCTTCTGAGGAGCATTTAAAAAACAGCCTGACCTTAAGTTGCCTGTCAAATGCTGAAGTAATGCAAATGTAACCTGAGTGCCTCATGTCCTGGTTATGCAGTTTGGATTCTCAGCAGTCACCTGGCCAAGTGCCAGCCAGCACCACTTTGTAAGGTACAGAGGCTGTCACCAGGCAAGCAAGGGCAGCCAAAGGGGTTCTGCAGCTTACTGGCATGAGATGGCTTCTCCCACTAACTCCAAATTTGTTGTTTTCTGCACAGTTTTAATTTACAGGCAGTATTGTTAAAAAAGGAAGCAAATTTTATTAATTAACAAAATTATTTAGGAAGCTGTCTTTGCTACAAAACACTTTAATGGGCACAGTAATTACTTTAATATGCTTTTTGTGGTTTTTTTTTAACCAAACTCTAAATTTTCTAGTTCACTGAAAACAGAAGCCAACTTGGAAACACTGAAATCAATTCCTAGTGAACGATTAATGATAGAGACTGGTAAGGTTTTATATCTTGGTCAGTTTGTGACAATGGGCAATGAGATATACTGGTGTAGCAGTCACAAAGCAGAATCAAGACCTAAAGAATTCAGAACAGTGGCTGTTTTCTTTACTTGAGAAAGCAATTTACAGAACTACTCCTTTCCAGCCTTCTGTTGGAAGGAATAAGCTGCTGTGTCAGTTCCTGACATTGCAGGGGAAGATGAAAAGGACAAATTGACAACTTAGATTTTTTAGTGTACCAGAATCCTGTTTAAGTATCTTTTAAAATGTAGCTTGCTGAAGATGTGCCAAGCACAGGGTAATGGCTATCAGTTTGCCACTGGCAGCAGTAATGGCATTTGGAAACAACTGCTCTTTAAATGGAATAGGTGGAAGAATGCTTGAATTCCCCTCTTAGCCCACTGAGCAGTCATTTTAATGGACTGACTAGGGATGTTGTGTTTTCTTTTTTCATGTTCGGTTATCAATAACTGACAGTTACAAACACAGTATTTATTTTAATTTCTGACTCTTGAGAAAGGAAAATTGCAAACTGCTAAGTCCTTAAATTTATTTGCATGTGAAGTACAGACCTGTTATACAGGAAGTTTCTGTGGAATGCATGCAGTGTATCTGGCTGTCTTTGTCATGTCAGAGGAAATTAGAGTTATGTATTATTATTGCTGATCTTTTCAAGTGTAAAATCCTGAAGATAATGGTATAAAAATCCAAGATGTTAAATTGCCCCAGATCTCTTAAATTTCCTTTTGAGCTGGAGGTCGTTGTTGCTGGAAGGAGATTGCAGGAGCTTTTGTCTGTAGAAGTAGTTCATCAAACTATCTCATGCTATTCTGAAACAATTGCACTCCTAATTCTTTTATTCAAACTAGATGCACCTTGGTGTGGAGTGAAAAATACTCATGCTGGATCAAAATACATTAAAACTACATTTCCTACAAAAAAGAAATGGGAAAAAGGGCACTGCTTGAAGGACAGAAATGAACCCTGCCATATAATGTAAGTGTACCACTGCACTCTTATTTTAAATACTTCAACTCTGACATGAAAAAAAATAGAAAAATCCCAGTTCACTAGTAATGTAGAAAATAGAAATCAATTCTAAATGTACTGAAACCTGTGCAAGATTTTGCTTTATAGGTTATGGAAAAAATGAGAAATCTTAATTTTCCTATGCTAGCTATTGTGTATGTACAATGCTCCCTGAAACTGAAATTAGTACCATTTTTATTGTTTCACTTGATGCACTGTAGAAGAGGTTAAACCCTCTGGAGTAACCTGACTTGAATATTCATTTCACTCACTTGTTGTTCAGGTAATATTTAAAACTGATCCAGCCTTGGGGATCAGGGGACAGTCCCCCAGGTGGGACAGTGCTGAGGCACCAGCAGTGCCTGTGACATCAACGGCCACAACATGCATTTTGTCAGGGATGTTTTTTCCTTCTGCTGTTATACTTCAAACAATCTGATCCTGTGAAATTCAGATATGAATGACAGCAGCCAAGATACAGAGTAGTGAAAGAAACTCCAGGGGCTTATGAACAGAATTGGTAAGCACAGACAGTTTTCTGCCTCCTTTCCACACAGTTCCTCACAGAAGTGTGAAAAGCAGGAAAATGTGTAATTGTTTTAGTGAAAATGTTTAGTTATCTGCATTAAATACCATTAATAGATGAAATACTGAATTTTCAGAATTCCCTGTCTAGATTTTGAAATACTGCTCAGGATAGTACTAAAGATCCAGGTATGCAGTAAGGTGTCTAAACAAGAATTCATTTGAGAAATGAAGGGAATTCTGATGCTTTTTGAGACATGAAGGAACTTGGAAAACCACTGATGATGTGAAAGCACAGTTTAAGCTTACACAGTGACATCTCCTAGTGTTCAGATATACTCAATGCAATTAGGTCAATTGTAATACTCGTTGAATTTTTTTTTCTTTTAAGTGAAGAGGACACATTAGCACAGAAGGCTTGCTTCAGTATTTTAAGACTTTCTAGGATCAGTCCATGATTTTGGAGTGGGGGAAGAGATCAATGGAAAACACTCTTCTGATCACAAGTGAAGGGGCTCTACTGTTACTGTTTCAACCAGCCCACATGTCAACAACACCTCCACATATTTGTCTGCTGCCTTAGTTGTAGATTACAGAAATGTTTCAGAAACCCCCAAACTCGAAATGCACAGTCTGTTCTGCATAGATACAGAGTGCACAAATGCACTCAAGATCATTACACAAATGCTGTGCTTTGGCTTTTCCCCTCTTTTATGGAAAAAAATATTGTTTGGCTCAATCTTTGAAATTATTATCCCAATAATGTTCAGTATAAGTTGTTGAATTTCTAGAACCTTTTAAACACTAAGAAAAATGAAGAATGGTAACTGATAATTGGTATTTTGTGACTTCTCAAGTAGCAAAATCTGGTGTGAGGGAATGTTACTCAGTCTCTAATGGGGTCTTTAATGTTTCTGGTATATATGCAGTTTAATGCAGCTCAGTTGGCAGGAGGAATTTTCCATTTGTCTGGTTTTGGTGATGCTGCACACCTTTTCAGTTTTGATAGTGATATTTCTGCTTCATATATATATATACATATATATATTTAGAACTACTCCCCTTGGAAGCTATTTTTTAAAAAGTTTAGCCACAAGAGACTTCTCTTTTCTCCTTCACCAGTTTCACATACACAGTGTCACAGTAACATACAGCCTTCTACTGCATCCAAGCGAGGAGAGATAAGTAAGCCCTCAGTCTTCTTGGGTGAAATTCTTTGGTATTTATTACTTATTTCTTTGTAGGCCTGATCTCACTCCATCTCACCTGGAATATCCTCTTAAATCAAGAAGCTGTTAGGCTAATTCTGCATCTAGGAAAATATTTGCAATAAAGTAATTATTAAGAGCAACTTCTACACTGTCTTTCACAAAAAGAAGTTTAGCTATTGCCTCAACTTAGAGGCAAAATCCAAAGCACACCAAACGCTCACCTGGAATATCCTCTTAAATCAAGAAGCTGTTAGGCTAATTCTGCATCTAGGAAAATATTTGCAATAAAGTAATTATTAAGAGCAACTTCTACACTGTCTTTCACAAAAAGAAGTTTAGCTATTGCCTCAACTTAGAGGCAAAATTACCACCTTACCACCAAGCTTAAGCTTCTTACTCTTCAAAGTGAAGTTTGAAGTTTTTTGCTGCTACTGGAAAAATCAAAGTATGATACATCTCTGGAAGGACACAGAATACTACTTTTTTTTTTTTTTAAAAGAATGACTGATTGATACAAAATCAAGAAAGCAATTGCAGAGAAAAGGTTGTGGCTTTGTTTTAATTATGTTCATGCCATTTCTTTTGCCTCCTCTTCCTAGCTTGTATGAAGGCCCTGAGACTGTTGAAATTGCTCATTTAATATTTACTGCAAATACCTGGCTACATTAATCACAATTAAGCTAAAGAATGGGGAAGTAGGAGTAAGTTACTTTGGCAGCACTGTGCTCTGATAAAGCTGTGTCTGGAATTTAAGATTTACTGTAGACCAGTCTATTCATAGTACAGCTTCAGCCTTGACAGGCTAATGAATTTTTCTTTGAAGAATGAAGATCATTGATAAAGACACCCACAAAATGACACTTCCTTCGAAACAGAAAGCTGTTTAATTACCTCCAAACAAGAGTCAAAAGACCAAAGAGGAATCTGTACCAGTAAGCAAACCAGTGTTCAGTGGAAAGGAAATGGCAGTTAGTAACTTAAAAGTGAAGCTATTTGCATATCTGAGCACCCTGCCCTATTGCTCTTAGTGTAGGTTTTTATTCCAGCTTAATCTTAGGGAGTTGTACATACACATGCAGCAATCTGATGTACATTCTGAAGTACTGGGTTTCAGTCTTCTAATATAAATCTTTCTTTTTTAGTCAAATACTGGAAATAATGGCGGCAGTAAGAGAAGATGACCCACTTGAGTTGGCCAATACTCTATATAACAACACCATTAAAGTCTTCTTTCCAAATATGTAAAGTTGTTTTTCTTCCATTTATTCAGCATAACTTCAGTAAAGATATTGCAAAAATTTAAAAATCATCATTCCTGCAACTTTTAATCAATGGAAGCCAGTGTGTAGTGGGTTTGGGGTTTTTTATGTTACAAGATTAAAGCTGCTTTTGAAAAGGTTGTCTGCATTTGTGCAGTTTCTCAGCCCTGTTCCCCTTTCATCAAGATTCAGGATCCACTTCAAGGCCAGGCCATGCCTGTAACTCCATTTAGCAGTGGAGGCACAGGATGAGCACCAGGCTGCTGCATTCACATGTAAAGCACTTGAAGCTACTGCTGGCAGTTCAGGAGGGTCGGACACGTCCATGGCATGCGCTTTGCTGCTTCACCAGAAAGCTGAGCACTGTCGCTATAGCATTTTAAGTCTACCAACCTAAATTTTTTTTTGTTTTGTTTTTAAACACACAACTCACTAGTTTTTTGCAATAAAGCTCTGCTAATACTGAATTTGTAAGTAAAGCTGCTTTGGCTCAGGCTTTCATTTTCCGAGTTGACTGGCTGAACAGTCTGTTTTCACCAGTATTTTTCATTTGCGTCCAGAAGACATTGATTGGGGATTACTGGTATACAGTCTTTGGCACAGCATTATCACTACATCAATTAAAGAGTGTTTTTCCAACCATCTTAAAAACGTGAAAACATTTTATTCCATGTACAATAATGTACATAATTTTAAGGTGGTCATGAAAGAGACCAGCAAAAATTAGAGGTATATTTACAGTAGCACACACCACAGTAAACAACCACCATTCACAGACTCAACATTGAGATACTGCTGTTGTGCTTAAGTACAATAACTACAAAGTGATACTTTTATTCTGTTGGAGTCAATCTTGAACAAATACCTCACGGCTTAGTAAGGGAGATCCTAATCACCAAGAGAGTTAGAGTCAACATTAAGAGTCTCATTCAAGTGCTGTGCCACACAGTCGCCATCTTCCTCATCACTATCTGAACTGTCATTATCTTCATTTAATTCATTTTCAGCATCAGCAGCTTCTTCTGCAACCCGTACTGGATTTTCATTTGGTGCTACAAACCCGTTGTTGTTAGAGATATTGGCATTTTCTTTGTCCTCAATATACACTTTCTGATGGCACATCGGGCACGTGTCCTGAATGTACAGCCACTTCCGAAGACAAAGTGCATGGAAATAATGGTTGCATGGAGTAATGCGCGCAGAGGTGGTGAACTCGTGGTAGCAGATTGCACAGACATCATCGATTTCATGTAACCGAGCTCCTTTCACCTCTGGAAGCGAGTTGATTTTCTTCACAGCAGTGCGGCGGTTTATAAAAGTCTTCCAGCCATTCTTGGCTTGCAGGTAGATGTTGAAGTACGCGTGCAGACACATCATGCAAGCGCGAATCTTGCTTCCAGATTCAAAAACCATCGTGTAAGCTCCATTTCCAAACATGATTACTCCAAATATAAACTCAATAATATTGCCAGTTGAGCGAACATAGTAGACATAATCGTCAAGTTTTTCCCATAGCACATTATAGTAGCCATCAATCATAAACAATATATAAACAGTGATAGAAACTATTACTTTTAGGCAAAGCTCTACACAGAACGCTGTGACTGCAAAAAGCCAAGTATTTAGTGCATAGTGGTGCCAGAGGATGTAACTGAGCAGAACTGGAAGAATGAAAAGGCAAGCGGAGACAAACAGTACAGGAAAGTGTCTGCGGAACGATGACACGTGGGAGGCACTGAGAGACATCAGCACGGGGTCTGTCATTCCATGGATAAAATGCAGGACTGCGGTCAACAAAAGGCACATGTTTCGACTCAGGCGAACTAATCGTTCCTCTGGTTTCAGTCCACTTAAACCAGTCTGCAGAGCCAAAATGAAAAACAAGACGGGTGCTACAAACCCAAGCCTTTTGTCATCCTCATCAGTTGACCCAATGAAGGCCAGGATACCAAGTCCCAGATAATGCGCTATTGAGGAAATGACGGCACTCATGCCCAACACAGTTAAAGTAGAGTCACACCCACTTATGATCAGGCTGCAAAGCAGTTCCCAACAGTTATCCCACGATATCAAGAAGAATTTTTCTTCCGTGTTGTTTTCAGCCATCTTTACTACATAAGTTAATACCACAGCTTGTGCTGTAAGTCTTGTTAGCCAAAAGACACGCAGTACAGCTGGAAACCGGATCCTTTTCCATGTATCTTCCATCAATAGCTGTAATCCATAAATACGATACATGTGCCTCACCAGCAGATAAACGTATCGTACCGAATAATAGAACCACTTCATTTTTGTAGCTAAAATGGCTGTGGTATTTAGTGTCAGAACTAGGCCTGAAATAAAAACAAGTACTTGCCGGACATTTAAAGGTAATTCAACAACCAAGCCAATTACAGGAATAAGTATATCCAGGATGATGAGTTGAGAGTATATGGACTGCATGTTTAGCAAGGTAACATATCCAATTCCAAAGGTAAGCTGAAGGATGGAAAGTGCCATCCATAGCGAAGGTCCTTTATGTGGGAAAATCTGAATTCCGAATGCAGCTGTGTTGTAGGCACTGTAGAAGTTTATGTGCAAAGCAGCATAGTAATTCACCAACACTGAAGTTGCAGCCAGCAGAAATGCTGAGGTGATCATGTAGAACTTGAAAAGTGCTCGCTGTTGTAAGACCAGAACAACGCTGGATACAAAGACACCTAAAACCAGATTGAAATAATTTAGTTCTCAGTAGAAGTTCAACAACCGATTTTAACCTATTAGCTCTGGAGCTACATTTATTTAATGTATCAGTTCCCCATTAGTCACTTGTAACTTTGCATTACCAGCGGTGCCCTTTTCAGAGAACAGGCAAGAGGACGAGTTAATCTCTGCATTTAACATCTGTGCACCACAGCTGTGATGCAAAGCCACTGCAAGCCCTAAATCACAATTACTATGAAGTTTGTTGCAGTTTTAGACTAGAATAGTGACAACTCCCAGCCTTTCACCCTCAGTCCTGAAATCCAGGGGTAGATGAGTTCTAAAAATAAACAAAAAAAACCCCAACAGATAAAGCATCACCTTCATAAGCAAAACTAATAAAGAATAAATTAATAAGATTTAGTAAGTCCCCTAATTCACTTGCACTCAGCTACAGCTGTCCAAGTTAGAGTACTAAAGATAAGTAACCAAAACACTTTAGTTAAACTCTTTAGTGGGAAAATAGTGAAAAATTGCTGTAGTTTGCTGTGGGGAAGGCAGTTCTATTTCCCTTCAGTTTGCTTTTATTTCTGGTGAGAGTGGTGACAAAGGTCACATGAGGAAGACCTTCCACAGTATACAGCTTTTGTGCACAGAATCCAAAACTGCACCAAGTGCCTCTTTGACAATGCCAGTGCAAACTTGTCTGTCTTGTTAGAAGTCAGATTTAGTCCTTGAAATTCCTGTTTGCCAACCTCTCCCTCATACTGACCATGACCACATCTGGACCATGCCTGGGAAGTCTGCACCTTCCTATAAGAAATCCTATCAGAGCAACTGCAGCATTGGGAGTTTGGGGTTACATGTCCCTGCAGTAAACTTCTGTAGTGTAATTTATCAATTCCATCACTGTACACTACATAGGTAAGGGGTCTGCCCTAAGAGGTGTTAAATTAAATGGCACTTAGCACCAGATTAATTTCCTTAAACAGTTTCTTTTTCAGGAAACACATTGCCTTTGTTTTGGACTTCTCACTCAGCATCTACTCCATGCAACTGCTTCCTCATCCAAACCAGTTTGGAGAGATTTCAATCTCTACAACTTATATTTGATTCTAAGTTGCTTTCAATCTCTGTACCAATGAAAATGACCTCAAAACCAATGAAATCAAGAGTAATCCTTTTCTGCTGGAGGACGGTGTCGGTCTTTTCTGACAATTGTAGTTTAGGCTGTTCTAAATCCACCACAAACAAGTGTTTTAAAAAAAATTAAGCCATAGCCTCTTGATCATGAGAATAAAATCTTTGTAATAGCATTTTACTTTTAAAAAAAGCAACAACCAAAAAAAAGCAAAACCAAACATACAAAAATACACAAAAAAAGGAAAAACTACCCTCAGATCCTGGAGGATTGAGAATCAGGGGAGGACCAACATGAACCAACTGCAAAAGGCAGGCTACAAATAAAGTTATGAATTTGCCTGAACAATATTTCTTGCCAGTAGCACTGGCTGGTATAAACATATTCTCCTTAATTAATCATTAACCTGCTAACCTTGTGAAGTGGACTGAGGAAAAGCCTCTATCAGTTTTCAGAAGGTCCCTTGCATCGTAGCTCAGTTCTTCCAGGAAAAGCTGACTATTGGTTCTATGCAGCACTTTCTACAAAATAAGCTTGACAGTTGCATTGTCATTTTAACCACCACAAACATCTTTAGGAAAGCCAATACTGCTGACGAGTTTGCAGCCTTTGTCTTTTCTCAGAAGGCACAGAAAAGGCTCACATGCCTGTACAAGGTCGTTATTTATGTAATTCTGATCATTTGAGCCAAAGGAGATGCATTTTGCAGTAAGCAGGCTGCTCTGAAACACGCCTTAACAAAACCTATTTTTGTGCCTTGCAGTGGCAGTAACAGGCCTGTATTTAGATACTGCAGGTCATCTTAAAACACTGACGTTTCACATGCAAGACACATCTCTAAAAACAGTACAACAGTGAGTCAATAGAGCTCGTCCTACTGGCTCCTCTGAAGAGGCACTAACAAAAAGTACAGCAAGTCTCTGTTAAGACATACAGGGAAAAGTCAAGAGTCACTGAAGGAGACTCAAAAGACCATAAGAGGTAAGAGATTTCAGAAGGGACATTGAGCACTCCTTTCCCCCATCTCCATTTATGTCACTGAGTCCATCTCAACACGAGAAGACTTTGCCCTGCCCTTTGCCCATCCCCATTTGCCCTTCAAAACAGTAAGTATTTTTCCATTTTCCCTCTTCTAGGAAGTGCTGCAGTTCCTCCTTT